TATATATATGGATAAACTGATATTGAAGCTTAGCTTATAAATCATTGTTAGCTAGATACACAGGTACAGCACTGTTTAATGTCACCCATGACTGTGCACAGCTCACTGTACAGCTGATGGTTCGCACCCTTGACATTGTACAAAACATATGTTTTGTTTTTTCTGAGAAACTGGAACAGTCCTTTAATATTGATTTCATTACATTTTAATTTACAGATAAATCGTGCACAGGTTTCATGGTTGGAGTAATAAAACAAAAGGAGAACGAAATATTCTGTACATGTTTAACCTGGTTTCAGGTTCACTGCATCTTTAAAATAACTTCTGGACATAAGCTGTTTTATTTTTCAACAACCCATAACAAACTATACCTTTAGTCAAAAGATGATGCATTTGAATTTAACAGCACGGAGCTGACCTAAAATAGGCTCCGACAAGCAATGTGCGTTTATATTAAAAAAATAAACATTCATTCAATTTTGCCCAACTAAGTCCACTGAAGCTTAGCAAGTGGGACACAACACCAAAACACAGTTCAGTCCGCTCTTGTTTATGGTTTAAGACTGTTAAGAACTCTGCATCGTCTTTTTTTTCTTTAACAGTCTTTCCCTCCAGTCATCAGGAAGTGTTTCAAAGTTAGCATTCTTCACAGACTTCCCTCTGCAAATGGAGACAAAAACGACAAGTATTTGAACAATCTGCATTTTTTTGCTCAAATTTTTGCTGATAATCTTTGTAATGGCTTCTTTAAACTTACGATGCAAGCTGTTGTTGTTTCCATTCCTCAATGCGTCTGCTGTTGTGCTGTTCTCTATCTTCATCGCTGGAGCTCGACTTCTCCTCTTCATCTAGCTCTTTCTGAATGCTCTGCCACTTCTTTACCAAGGATGGCATCTTTGTCTTGCTCTTCTTTGTCTTTAAAAAATAAAATGACAGCATTTAAATTATTTTCTTTCTAAATTAATGGGGACATTGGATGCAAAATTCACTTTTACATTTTTGCATATAAATGTGTCTTAGGAATGTGTTTGACAACCACCCTACAATGATAAAAAAAACATTCACTCCATTTTTTAATGCCCAATAAACCTAAAGAGTCTCAATTATCAAGCCGTTTTGATTTTCAGAGTAGTATGAAGTCATATTGTTCAGGCCCCGCCCACAACCGCTGACAGACTGTCCCATATGTTTCATTGGCAATGCAGGTGTCTTGTAGTTGGATGTAAAAGTGAACACAAGGCCGGTTTACACCGCAAGAATGAGCAGCGCTAATTTTTTTGTCGTGCTGCATGTCAACAAATGAGTGCATTCACACCGGGAGCAGGAGCAGCATGTGAGTGTCAAGCAGGAGCAGCACTGAAGCGATGGTTTCAGTGCAGATGCGTTTAATAGTCTTAATTTACTCCCAACATGAGAGACACTGAGGACACAGTGGATTGGTTTAGTTTTTGATGGTAACGCACCACCAATGGTGCAGTAGCTCATTATCATTTAAAGAGACACGCACCTTTGACAAGGTAAAAAGGGTGTTGTTTTACACGACCATTGAGGAATTTCAACCAAAGTACGTTGCAGGCATTTCATGAAGACCCTAAAGAATCATACCAACTTGTGGAAAATGGGCATCCGATGTTTCTAAAAATCTAATATTTTATGGGGAAAAAAAGAAAGAAAAATAATAAAACAAATTAGGGATGCGCCGATCCGATATTCATATCGGGCAGAGATATATAAATTCTACATTTATTTAAATGAGGGAAAAAAACTTCACTGGTATCGGATCGGAATCGGTATCGGCCAATACCGAACCCTAGGTATCGGAATCGGTATCGGAGGCAAAAAAGGCGGATCGGAGCATCCCTAAAACAAATACAGCAATACAAAACTCAAGAACCCAAAAACAAAACAAAAAAACTAAACCAATACAAACCCAAGAACCAAAACAAAAACAGCAGAACAAAACACACCAAACACAAAAACAAAACAAACCCCAAAGCAAAAAAAAAAAAAACCGGCCAAACAAAAATGCAACAACAAAACCACAAGAACGAAATAAAACAAAAAACACCCACCTTCTCTTTCTTTTGTTTCTTTGTTTTATCTGTGAGGGCTTTGCTCATCGGTTCCAGGGTGCTGGGAGGTTGTGGAGCAGGAGGGGGTGGCTGGGGCGGCAGAGCTGGCATTGGTGGGACTATGCTCTCTGTAGGCAAAGGAGGTGCAACTGTAGTTGTCATCCCCCAGTAAGCACTTCCAACTAGAAGTGGGCCTGTGAATGAACGAGAGGAACATGAGGAACAACATCTTGCCGCAAGACAGGATTTTCTATGAAAATACTGATGTGTGTAAAAGTAGTTTATTCTCACCAGCAGTAGCAATGGGTTGAGTGTAAAGAATAGGGCTGCTGCCGATGGTGACTGTTTTGGGCAGCGGGACTGAGCCTGGGGTCTTGCGTTTCTGGGCTTTAGCTGCAAGTCCCAAAGATGCTGCTTCCTCAGCCGCCTGAGAAAAAGACATCAAAAGATATCATTTCACTATGCACTAAGGCATAATAAACTAAATAATCTTAATTCAAGACAAACAAAAGTGACCTTGAACTCTTCTGTTCCAGGAGCCGGAGGCTCTGACTCCTCATCCTCCATCTCCACTTCCTCAATCTCTCCGTCATCCTCAAGGGGTGGTGGAGGGGGTGGAGGAGGAGATTCAGGTGGTGGAGGAGGTGGCGGTGGTTGCTCTGTAGGTGGAGGTGGCGGATCCTCAGGAGGAAGTGGAGGCAATGGTGGCTGAGGAGGCTGGGGAACCAACCAATAAGACTGCACATCTCCTAACGAAGCTCCTGTTGAAAAAAAATAAACAAAATACAGGGATGAAAACTCATCATGGGTGAAAAAGGTGACAAAGACGAGCAACCCCCCCTACATTTTTTAAACAATTATAATAATTTAAAGCCTTTATTATTTTCTAACTCTGCCAAAATTAAATTTAAATGTTCACTTTCATTCATGAAGAAGACAGGAAAAAAATGTTCTCCTGGTGGAAAACAAAGACTTGATGAAAATGAAAATGACATGAAATTATCATTATATCCAGTAGATGGCAGCAGAGGATCACCCATTAGCTCAGTTGCCATTTCCACTCCCGTTTTTCTCATGTCTTGCTTTTGGATTTATTATAAAATGACTATGAAGTATAGCAAGTGCAGGAAGTCACAAAGTCTCCTGTCATTTAAAAATAAATAAATAAAGCCCAGACACCAACAGCCTAGTAGGGTTAATTATTTAAATACTTATCTAGCTAACTACAAATTAAGTTAATTATTAATTGTATAATAATTAAACAATGCATTAAATATTTTGGCTTTTTTTTTTATTTTTTATTTAATTTAAAAACTACATTTTTCAAACTTTGCCTAAAAAAGGACACATCAAAAGGAGAGCTTTAAGTTATCTTTACCTGTAGAAGCTGCTAAAGGCAACACAGACTTGTGGCTGCTGTAGTTTTGTTACTCTGAATTTACTCTGCATCACTTAAAGCTAGGGATGTAACGATTAACCACGAGCCGGTTGAAAATCGATTCAAATATGTGACGATTCAAATCGGTTGAGATGCTAAACAAATCGAGATTCATTTAGGGGTAGGAGTTTATATGAATGTATGTCTGAGGGGAACTTACTGTCTTTAGAAAAGTTTAGATGGTATTTTTTCTTTTCATCTTGCCTCTGTATAATGCATATTAAAGTTCATAAGTGTAGCGCTGCTTTGTTTACAGCGGAAACCAAGGAAACGCTTTAAGCGCCACCTGCTGGCAGAGAGTGAATCTGCGTCTCATTCAGCTCCTCTGCTGTTTCATGCAGATATTTTTATGTATAGTTTCACAAAACTGAAGTCAAAGTCGAAATTATACAACTTAATTTAGATTAAAAACTGCTCATGTTGCATGTATGCAGCATCTTTGTTTGGATCATGATTAAAATGCAGTGGTTGCCTCTCATTTTAAATGGAAAGAGCACAGACAAAGCCTTAGTTTGTTTATATGAAGAGATTTATTTTAT